CCTTACGGATTTTTGGGACATCTGGCAAACCCCAAAACGGAATTTATTTCCTCACCTTCCAGATAAAACGTCAGAATCCATAACGGTAATTAGCAATAAGAATATATTTGGGCAATGCAAATGCACAATTTTATTGCATAACGTAAGGTAAACACAGACCCGTGGCCTGGTAGAAATACTAGGAAATAAGGGAAAAAGAAGGTAACGATAGTTATTTGACAGTTCCGTAGAATACATTGTCCTGCGTTTAAAGTGCATCCTTTCTGATGGTCCGAGATGCTGGGTATGCTCGACACAATGGCTTCGATTTGGAAGCGTCCGCGAATAAATAAAACCTTATTTCCGCAAATATTCCCACGTTACACTTAAAAAGTCAAGTTGGCAAACAGGCGTTTTCGGTATTTCTTCGTCAGGCCAGTACAGTTACATGAAGGAATGAAAATGTACAAAATTAACAGTATTTATAGGTGTCTCAAGGGCTATTAAGTCAGTACGACTCATCTTCCCCACGCCACCCGCATGACAAGGTCGGCGGGTTTCGGTCGTTAGAGCTAAAACAGAGGGGGGGGGGTAAGAGAGTCTTTGAGTGTTCTTGGATTGAGTACACAGAGTACCCATCACTGTAATTAGGGATTTGAGGCGACATGTCGTCATCACTTGAAGTTGGCGTTGGCCACGGCAGAGAGGGCGCTTGTGTCAGGGTTTTCTGACAGCATAACACCGGATTCGCTAGCTGTATAGCCACTGCCTCGGTTGTTGCTAGTAACCGTCGGCCTAGGTCTTTAGAGAAGCTTGTTGTTGTCCGATAGACAACCTGAAATGCTTCCTTGACATCGACTCGGTGATTCGTATCGATTAAATGTGAGAGAATAGAACTCGAAATCGATCGGGTCTCACCTTTGTCTAACCGGGCGGGCATATGTTCACACACCCTTTTTACCAGGCGTCCCGTCTTACGGCCGATGTATCCCGCTCCACAGGAGCAAGTGAATGAGTAGATGCACATTGATGTGGCCTCCAACAGTAGTCTGTCTTTACCTCCTAAACGTAGGAAGGGAGAGTTTGCAAAACATACTCGTAAATTCGCCGCGGGGAATGGTCTCGCGAGAGCTGTAGTCATGCGCCGTCTGACAAGCTCGCTCGCTGCGTCCCCTGCAAAAGGCAGTCTTATGAATACATCCTTCTTTTCTGCAGTTGCAACAGTGGGCTTTGCAATGCCTATAAACACCTATAAACACTGTTAATTTTGTACATTTTCATTCCTTCACGTAACTGACTGTACTGGCCTGATGAATAATTACCGAAAACACGTGTTTGCCAACTTGACTTTTCAAAACCTTATTTATTTTGAAGTCTCCATACTCGTCTTCTCCTTCAACGTCAACTAGCGTTCGCTACAAGTAAATTGGTCAAGTGTTTGGCAAATTTTGGAGTTATGATCCCTATTAGAACAGACAAAGCCTGCAGTTTTCGTGCTCAAAAACTTCCGATGAACGTTTTTTGTTGAGGTGTCTGGCGGTTTAGACACCAAACTAAGCACGTGATGGTTCAGCCGCAAACTACCAACTGCGGCAACAGCTAGCAGAATGGTGAAAGGGTGCTGTAAAACTGTAATAAAAACGGCACAAGTAACTGGGTTGAGCTAAATTCGGCAAACCATGGAAGTCAGAATAACTTATCGAAATGATCCGGTAGTCATAAAACAGGCGTAAACAGTTAATGCCCATAAGAGTAACCACAAATTCAAAAAGTGCAGGGTCAGCAGAAACTTGATTTTTGCAAAGAACTTATTTTTTGCCGAATCACAGATGTCGAGCTTGTGGACTGCACGAGGAGAGCACACTTAGTGAGAGTACTTGGTATGCTACTGATGAAATGTAACAAAGAATATTCGAAATATTTACACATTAACTTTTGGGAACGATATATTTAGAGGGATATTCGAGTAAGGTATTAGACCATCATTCAAGCTCCAGCATTTTGAGGAAGGGGAACCTTCGTTTTAATTCTGACTACTATAATTCCTTAATATTTTAATCCATACAGATAATCTTCATCCATGACTTCAAGAAATTGTGCGCGGAAAACTAGTAATATGCGACTTACCGGTTATGATACTATTATTGATTTATTTAGCGTTATCGCACGTTTGTATCTAGAATGTCGCCTCGAACCTGCCTTAGCGGACTATATCTGACACTTTGTGTTTGGTTACGCCTGCAACAATCTTCCATCGGAAATTCATTTTTTCCAGTCCGAAAATCATGAACCCCCACGGAACATGATCATGCACCAAAAGCATCCCTCTTGCACGTAGTTCGAGCTTCGTGACGCACACGCGCTATGCCGACTTCTTTTAACACGCAGGACATCCTCGTCAGAATCATGTTCTGACCACCTGCCTTCGTGGAATCACCCCACTGAGCCTTTCACCTAACGTCCTCTACAATGCATTATCCCGTGCGCACCAACTGCGACGCTTTTAATTCCTTCTCCGTCCTGTCGCCAGTGAAACCAAATAAATCCGCACGGGCTCGAAACGCATACGACACAAGTTGAAGGTCGGGTCACCTTATCTGTTTGACTTCGGCTCCATTAAAAAATGTGGCCATATCGGCTGAGCAACTACCTACACTGCAGACGGAGTTTCCCTCATCTCATTCCGCTAACTACGTTCCCCATTTTCGCGGTGATCTTGAGCAGCCCTCGCTACTCTCTCCTTCTTCGCACGACAGTTGCTCTCTTCTGAATACCTCAATTGAGATGTTTGGGTTACTGGGTCTACCCGCCACTTTCCGTCCGAAATTTTTTAATTGCTTGCCAAATGCCTGCCGATTAACCCAGAACGCAATCGAGGGCAGGTTTTGCGGATTTGTGTGGCTTCCTCCCCAAATGTCACTGTAGAGCTGTTTGGTTTGGGCGGACCCCAGGTTTAACAATGCTAATGCGCGTACAGTAGGTGGGCTAACTCATGAAATGTCAATCGAAATTCCGAAATGCGTTTTCGGTTCGAAAGGATTAAGTAAGTAAGGTTGTAAAAATAGTCAGCCGGCAATATAATTCTATAATATTTTAGTTACCTCAGGATACCGACTTCCGAACGAACTTTTTTTTCGGCTGCATCTAAAAACCGTACTCCGTAAGCAATGAATACTTAGGTAGCATGCCTTTTTTCATTGATTTTCGATTCCCTTAAAGATTCAATCATATTTTATGAAAAACATGCATAACATTATTCATTCTTTTTCTCATTCGGTAGGAAATTACGTCTTCTTTCAATTTTACATTCAAAGGAAGGGTATAGAAAACTTTTCCAATTCCCGAATAATTTTGAACCCGACCTTCCGTTACACTTGAATTCAGTGTTTCCAAACTACAAGCCTATATTTTCTGCGTACGGAAAACCACACCTTGCGCTACGGTAATAAAGAGGGACCATATGCATTCCGTAAGGCACAACGGAACGAGTGAAATCCGTAAGAACGATCGGTGAGCGCCCCCTACCACTGTATATTCCCGATCGAAACCGACAGAGCAACGGGCTCGTGACCCAGTGGTTAGAGGCGTGCACTTCTAACTAACAGGTCGCGAGTTCGAGCCTCGGGTATGCCACACTTCGGGGTTGGGTATGCCTGGCTGACGACGGCTAATAAACCAGAAATGGCCATTCCAGTCTCCCTTATCTTTGTCGGTAATAACATACTGTCTATGTCATGCGCCGCTGTGCGGCTGCTTGTTGGGCTCGAGGGGGAACCCGTAAGACACAACGGAACGAGTGAGTTCCATAGGAAATATCGGTGAGCGCTCCCTACCATAGTTAAATCTGCGTTCGGTTTGCATTGATAGAGTTCTCTGGTACTGAGCAATTTTCGAGGAGGCGAAGATCGCACTTAGGGTGCTAACCATAGTGTTTGTCTGCGGGCTGTAATTCCAAAGTGCAGTAATCACCAACTGGCGGATCTGTTGCAGTATAGTGGAAGTTAGTCTCCTAACTAAAAATCTGTCATGCGCTAGAACGGGCTTTGGCTGTGTGCAACCACCGCGTTATATCACCCACCCTCCCAAACAGCCGCGGAATCGGTGGACTAGTACATTTGCTAGTCGTGATTAAGGAGAATTGGTCAGAGGTCAGATAATTTGACTGGGCTGCTAGCGTTATGCAGAAAAAAAGATGAGCCCGAGGCGTTTTTTTTAAAGTGGTGGGGTACCTCATAGCGGGGAAGTTGGGCAGGAATAAATGTGGGCGAAACTGTAAAAATCTGGTGTTGAAGCTGATGGGTACTTTAGGCAAAAGCATGCCATCATTGTGGGGTGGTATAAAAACCTGTCCTCTAGCATAAAAATTGGTATTTCATAGCACTTGGCGCCGGTTATAAAGGAGATCAAAGTGTGAGTCAGGAGGGCATGACGCAGGTCCATCGTTACTCTTTAATGTTGTGTCAAGCAAGAGCGGGCTGTCTATCACGACTAATAGCACTATGCGGTACTCTATTATTTTATTCGGGCAGAATGATGCTGACCATTTTTGTGATGGATATCATACTGAAGGGCAATTGACAGGCGTAATTGATATAGGCTCGCAAAGCCGATTGGTCAGTGAAAAGGCTCCCAACTGTAGGACACGGCAATATGAACTCTCGCACAACAGGTGGCCTTGTGCTAAATAGCAGAGAGGTTATACTTAGGGTAAGGAAGGGTATGGCAAGGGTTAGGAGTATAGCAGATAGTGTTAGGATTATGAGAGTTGGTTTTAGGGTCTGGTTACTGTTGG